CATGCGGGCGCGCACGTACAGTGCGATTGAAACTTGTGGCCCATGCGCAGAAGTCGGTATTTTGTGGAAGAGCCACACTCAAGGGGCCAAAGTTTTGCCGAGCCGTGGTTTGCCGAGCCACAGTTTGCCAACCACTGCCCTAGAACAAAGGGTAGACAGAAAACAGACTAATCTTCACAGGAACTGCAGCCCAGTTTCAAATCACCTTTATTTCTGATTGCACTAAAGTGATCTGGAATTAATAATGCCCCTAACCTAGACCCAATGTAAATTAAATTATCTCAGAAGAATGATAACCTCATCTAGAGCACTTCAAATTATCTGTATACTTTTTCAGTTCCCATATCTGTCACTGAGAAAAAAAAAGGCGCACAGAAGAAAAAATATAAAGCTTCTAAAAGATAACACAGGAAATTAGCTTCAAGACTTTGAGATAGACAGAGATTTCTAAAACAGGACACAAAGAGTACTGACCAGAACAGAAAAAAATCAATGAATTGGACGAAGACCTTGTTCATCAAAAGAGTCTATTTAAAAGTGAAAATGTATCACACAATCTCACTCATATGTGGAATCTAATAAACAAAATAAAGTGATGAACAAAATAGATCCAGAGTCACACAACCATGAACAGACTGATGAATCTAAGAGGAAAAGTGGGGGTGGGGTGGGAGGGAGAGATTAACTGAGAAACTTACATGCATACATGCATAACCCATGGACACAGACAATAGTGTGGCAAAAGCTTGGGAGGGGTGGGTGCAAGGAGGAGGGGGTCAATGGGGGAAAATAACAAAAAAGGGGGACACGGGTAATACTTTCAACAATAAAGATAAATTTAAAACATAAAAAAGCGAAAATGTAAGTCACGAGTAGCAAAGTTATTTTTATCATATTTAATTACCAAATACTAAGCCCAGTGAATAATATGCTCCACTTCACTTCCTGACCACACCAATTCACCTACTAAGCCACATTCCCCTTGTATACAAAGCTCTGCAGAACCACATGAGTCTACCAGGCTATGGGTCAGCTAAATCTCTTACCCAAAGAGATGCTCACCAGGACTACCTGTGGTTGAATGATCACTGCATGAGTCCCAAGCGAGAACTGACTACACTGTACACATCCTTCCTTACTTATCAGAAGTCATTTACTGGCAACTCAACAGGACGATGTCATCATCACTGTTTCAGGGAAACTACTTCAAAGGATACTTGTGGTCAAAGCTGTACCACAGCCTGAACAGCCATGCACTCTCCTGCTTTGTCCGGTTTCCTCCAGCAGAATCTGGACCATCCTAAGAAAAAACAATAAGACAGATGCTTAGTTGTATAAGTGGATTGAAATAAGGGGGGAAAGCTTTATTTTAACTATAATTTTTAATTATTTTGAGCTCAGAATCAAACATCCTGTATCACCAAAGCATCAAAGTTATATTGGGAAGTACAGTTTTTTAAATTGAATAATTCCAAAGGCAGGCAAATCAATCCCCTAAATGAAACAACTTGCTTATGTCTGTGAGTAGATCTTTTGGTATTATTGTAATTTTCCCAGAATTGTCTTTCAGAAGATTACTAGTAATTACCCTAAAGTAGTCTAGATCCTAACAGGCCAAAATTAATTTATAGAGGATATTAAAGAAAGCTTCTGTAAAACCAACTTTCCAGGTCCCCCAAAGCTGGTCTGGGAAAACTGTGCTTGGTTGAGTTTCCTGACAAACTAGCTCTTGGTGGTCCTGACCCAGGCACATGCACTGTGTTCCAGGTGGTGCAGTAACTTGTTGTCCTACCAGCTTTAGGAAAGTGGGCGTAGTGGGCAGGGGAAATAGAGCCACAAATAGCATCTCTGTTCTCTTATCTACCTTCAAGTAGTAAGTTCCTTTACTACTCCTTTCATGCCTTTTCAACTCAAAACATCTCCATCATTTAATTTTCAAAATAACTAGCAAAATCAAACATTCAATTCTGGTTTAAAAAATCTGTGCACAATTACTACTAAAAGTGGACTAGCTACATCACTTTGAGGACAGTGGTGGGTACTACGTTGCTGGATGACAAGCTCTGAGAGTACAGATTGCTTGGGGAAGCACAGCCATTTTTTTTTTTAATTAAATCTTTATTGTTCAGCTTACATTTGTTCCTCTTTTTTTCCCCCCCCATAACTCCCCTCCTCCCCGTTCCCGCCCCCCCCTCCCCCCTCACTCCCCACCCACTGTCCTCATCCATAGGTGCACGATTTTTGTCCAGTCTCTTCCCGCATCTCCCATTCCCCTTTCCCCCCCAAGAATAGTCAGTCCATTCCCTTTCTATGTCCCTGATTCATTATAATCACCAGTTCATTCTGTACATCAGATTATTTATTCACTTGATTCTTAGATTCACTTGTTGATAGATGCATGTTTGTTGTTCACAATTTGTATCTTTACCTTTTTCTTCTTCCTCCTCTTAAAGGATACCTTTCAGCATTTCATATAATACTGGTTTGGTGGTGATGAACTCCTTTAGCTTTTCCTTATCTGTGAAGCTCTTTATCTGACCTTCAATTCTGAATGATAGCTTTGCTGGATAAAGTAATCTTGGTTGTAGGTTCTTGCTATTCATCACTTTGAATATTTCTTGCCACTCCCTTCTGGCCTGCAAAGTTTCTGTTGAGAAATCAGCTGACAGTCGTATGGGTATTCCCTTGTAGGTAATTGAGTCTCTTTCTCTTGCTGCTTTTAAGATTCTCTCTTTGTCTTTTGCTCTTGGCATTTTAATTATGATGTGTCTTGGTGTGGTCCTCTTTGGATTCCTTTTGTTTGGGGTTCTCTGCGCTTCCTGGACTTGTAAGTCTATTTCTTTCACCAGGTAGGGGAAGTTTTCTGTCATTATTTCTTCAAATAGATTTTCAATATCTTGCTCTCTCTC